AGAAATAACACCTCATCTGGCTCTATTAAACATGACAAATGTCCACACAGAAGGGAGTTGAGTAAAGACCTGCACATGTTCTGCATGCCAAAAGACTTCTGTCGATTGAAAAAACATATGCTCAGGTGATCTGTAAAAGAATGGAGATCCTCAATTTTATTACATTCTCACAAAATGATTTATTTATTTATTTTTTTGCCCATCTCAGCTTTTCTTTTTTAAAATTTTTATTTAAATTTCAGTTGGTTAACAGAGTGTGATATTAGTTTCAGGTATACAATATAGTGATTCAACACTTCCATACATCACAGGTGATCATTACAGTAAGTGCCCTCCTTAATCTCCATAACCTATTTAACCCAATTCCCTGCCCACCTCCCCTATGGTGACCATCAGTGTGTTCTCTATAGTTAAGTCTGTTTCTTGGTTTGTCTCCCTCTTTTTTCCTCTTTGCTTGTTTTGTTTCTTAAATTCCACATATGAGTGAAATCAGATGGTATTTGTCTTTCTCTGACTTATTTCACTTAGCATTCTACTCTCTAGCTGCATCCATGTCATTGCTAATGGCAAGATTTCATTATTTTTTATGGATACATAATATTCCATTGTATATGCATATCATATCTTCTTTATCCATTCATCAGTCGATGGACACTTGGGCTGTTTCCATAATTTGGCTATTGTAGATAATGCTGCTATAAACATTGGGGTGCATGAATCCCTTTGAATTAGTGTTTTTATATTCTTTAGGTAAATACCTAGTAGTGTAATTGCTGGATCATAGGGTAGTTGTATTTTTTATGTTTTGAGGAACCTCCATATTATTTTCTAGAGTGGCTGCACCAGTTTCCACCAATAGTCCAAGAGGGTTACCCTTTCTCCACATTCTCGCCAACACCTGCTGTTTCCTGTGTTGTTAATTTTAGCCATTCTGACAGGTGTGAGGTGGTATCTCCTTATAGTTTTGATTTGTATTTTCCTGATGATGTGTGATGTTGAGCATCTTTTCAGGTGTCTGTTGGCCATCATTTATATGTCTTCTGCCCGTTTTTTAATAGTATTATTCATTTTTTGGGGTGTTGAGTTTTATAAGTTCTTTATATATGTTGGATATGAACCCTTTATCAGATATGCCATTTGCAAATATCTTCTCCCATTCTGTAGGCTGCCTTATAGTTCCATTGATTGTTCCCTTCACTGTGCAGAAGCATTTTATTTTGACATAGTCCCAATAGTTTATTTTTGCTTTTGTTTCCCTTGCCTCAGGAGACATATTTAGAAAGAAGTTGCTATGGGAAATATCAAATAGGTTACTACCTGTGTTCTCCTCTAGGATTTTTATGGTTTCAACTCTCCCATTTAGGTCTTTAATCCAATATGAACTTATTTTTTTGTTTGGTGTGTGGTCCACCAAGAAAGTGGTCCAGTTTCATTCTTCTGCATGTTGCTGTCCAGTTTTCCCAACAGCATTGGTTGAAGAGACTGTCTTTTTCCCATTGGATATTCTTTCCTGATTTGTCAAAATTAATTGACCATATAGTTGTGGGTTCATTTCTTTAAAACTAGTGTAATTGTCTTGGGTTTAGTATATCATAACAGACAACTTAGCACTCTGCTTTAATTGTCTTTTTATGAATAACTATATGACCAGGTTTTTAAAAAGCTAAAGATCTAGAATCATGCTTTAAATCTGTAAAACGTTTTCTAAAACCAGCTCAGATATTGACCTTATAATAGACATTCACCCAATATTCTTCTCTGATTATTCTACAATACTAGAATTCTATCTTAACTGCAAATAATTTTCAACGTAAGTACAATAGGTACTCTTTAATGTAATTAAATGCTTACAATTTTATTGTGCAAGTATCATGGAGATAAGCAATTAACAGAAAGTTATGGTCAAATTTACAAAAATAGATCATTACTAAAAAATCAATAATGTGTATATGCTTGCTTAACTTAAAGGGAACAGTTAGGCTATCAACATGTACTAAGTGATCAGGCAGTTGATAAACATATTTTTCATACCAAAATCCTACAATATTAAAAAAGCCCACACACAACCAAATATGAATTCAAATGAGACATCTAACAAAGTAAGAAATAACAGACCTGGGGATCATTATGTTGATCATATCCTCAGCACAGATTAAAGATTAATGTCACTGTCAATACCATCATTTTTTGGTAACACTTAGTATCCTGGTGCTATGCTGATGAATACCCCTTATGTTCAGGAACAATTGTAGAAATAGTTCCTGATCTGTGATCCCAAGGGGCAATAGCCCATGAAGTAATTTGAGCACTGTGTTCTTAGTACTATGCCATATACTGTGGAGGATGGATGAAATAGCTAAGTATCATTCTTGTCTTCAAAGAACTTACTCTCTGGTAGGGAAGGCAAGCTTACAGACAGTTTAAACAACACACGATACATGATAACGATACACAAATCAAGTTAGTGCATTAAGGTAGTAGTCATCCACTTACATAGATCATAGATCAAGGTTGGAACATAAAATGATTTTGAATGAACCTAATAGTCTTTGGTTTATGCAAAATTGGGAAGTAGGTGAAAGTTACCTTTAATATTTGTGTATCTCTCCTATGAGCTTTCTTTCCATTGCTGGTGGGATAGATCATTCCCCAGGATCCTGTGGTTTTGAGAAGCTGCCTACTCCCTACTTTTCATATATTCTGCTATAAGAACATCCCCAGTAGTGTATTACTAACTGAATCCTCCACTGCTTTTGTCTGGAACTTCAAATCCAAATGGCATTTGGAGGGAACAGTGTCTTGCACAGACAATAATGCCTTCATCTATCCCTCAACTCTCAATAGAGTGAGTAAATAATGACTTGGGATTCCATCTGTACAAGTCCGCCCTCCTTGTGGTGCATAATTAATAAATGCCAAGTGGTGGGATTCTGAGCAGAAATTCCATAAGGATTGGAGAAGAGGAAGATTAATGACTCTAAAGTGGTAGATCCATTTCTATTCACTTCACATCAGGTGGCATCATTGTCCCAGCTCCACAAAGTAGAACCAAGGAGTCATTCTTGATGTGTCCCTCTATCCCTCTTTGTCACCAAATCCTGTCAATCTTTTCTTATAAATGTTTTCTGGGAATCCATCTACTTTCATTTCTCTTCTTCATGACTTATATAGTAGCTGAACTTTTCATGTTTAATTGTGAGATTGTATGCTCCGTGAAAGCATGGATCCTTTCTGATTTCCTCCCATCACTGTATTTCAATTATATAGGAATAATATATATTTGATCAACAAATACATGAATTAGAAGTTGCACTAGATCTTAAATCTTTGTGATATTTGGATGGAAATGAAAGGAAAATAATAATTATAGGAAAGAATATATATAAGCCAAAGGATGAAAGAAAGAATTAATATGGCTTACTCAGAGGCCCAAAATAAGATTGACTAGAGCTAAGGGTTGATTTGGGGAAGTAAATGGTAAATAACTTTCCACAGAAGGCATGGGGTCAGATTATAGAGGCAACAGAATTTATGCCTGCTCTGGTAGGAAAGTAGACATTTTTAAGCATTATTATGATACACTGGAAGCAGAACTTAAATATGTGCTAGTTGAGGCAAAAAACCAGTATTAATTCAGATGTGGTATCACAAGCACCTAGATTTGGGAGATGGCAGTACAGATTACAAGGGAAAGGTCTAGAGAAGGAAAAAAAAATATGTTAAAGAAAAAGAACTTGGGCTGTGGTAAGTGAATGTGGGGTATAACTCTTCATTCACACATATTTAATGAATCTCTCTAGACCTACTCTTACTTAACAAGGGAACTTCCAGATCCACGTAATATATAGTTATTTTAGTAATATTTTTTAAATGTGTATTTATTTTTGTGTGAGAGAGAGAGAAGATGCGAGAGAGCAAGCAAGGGGTAGAGAGTGAGCAGAAGAGAGAGAATCCCAAGCAGGCTCTGCATTTTCAGTGCAGAGCTCGATGTGGGGCTCAAACTCACAAACTATGAGATCATGACCTGAACCAAAGTCGGATGCTCAACCGACTGAGCCACCCAGGCCCCCTGGTAATGTTTATTTATTACAGAAAATTAAATATGAGGGGCGCGTGGGTGGCTCAGTGGGTTAAGCATCTGATTCGTGATATTGGCTCAGGTCATGATCTCACTGCCATGGGATTAAGCCCTGTGTCAGGCTCCGTGTGGAGACTGCTTGGGATTCTTTCTCTCTCTCTCTCTCTCTCTCTCTCTCTCTCTCTCTCTCTCTCTCTTTCTCTCTGTCTCTGCCCCACTCGTTCTCTCTCCCTCCCTCTCTCTAAGTAAGTAAATAGACATTTAAAAAAAAGAAAATAAAATATGAAAAAGTGCTCCAAACCAGGGTGTCTCAACCTCAGCACAACTGACACTTTGGATTGGGTAATTCTTTATGATGGGGGCTGTCCTGTGCATTGTGGAGTCTTTGGCAGCATCCCTAGACCTTGCCCAATAGATGCCAGTGATACCCACATACCCAACTGTGACAACCAAAAATGTTTGCTGGGTAAGGAAAAATTTCCCCCACTGGAGAACCACTGCTCTAAAAGTATATAGTCCTATAGGGGTGCATGGATGGCTCAATCGGTTAAGCATCTGATTCTTGATTTTAGCTCAGGTTGTGATTTCATGGTTTATGAGTTCAAGCCCCACATCAGGCTCTGTGCTGGCAGCATGGAGCCTCCTAGGGATTCTCTCTCTCCCTCTTTCTCTGCCCCTTCCCCACTCTCTCCCTCTGAAAATAAAAAAAAAAAAGCAGTAAATGTTTAAAAAAGTATATAGTTCTATAAAGTAGACAATATCATCACTCTAATATTTATTATAACATAATGAACACATTTTCATTCCATTTCAGAAAGTGCAACCTTTGTTAAGGAAAATAGAACCTTTGTTAAATGTAAACATTCTTTTTAAAGAGATTTTTATTTTTAGGATAAAAGGTGTAAATTTTAATTGTACTTACATTGAGCTCTAAAACTATTCCAAGGCAATCAATCAGCAATGACACAAACATGGCTATGGTAATGATAACCACTGTTACAATAATGTGGAAGACCAATGAAAGATTCCCACCAAAAAACACATTGGCAACTACCTGCCAAATAAACACATTATTTAGAGAGGGGTTCTCAGAGGCATGGAGGACTTATTAAGTAAGTATATCATATTATAGCATTTAGGACTATATAAAACACTACCAGTAAGGCAATCAATCAAATCTTAAGCCATATGAACATCCTATATTTCTGAAGTACTTACACACATATGCATACACATTTCAACAACAAATATTCTTTGTTGAATTATTATATAGGCAGTAGGTTATCTTACAGCCTCAGAACATGGTATAATAATGTATGAAAAAAACCTATTTCTTAAGTGTAAGAATGATGTTGGGAAGTTACCTTAAAAAGTATGAGTTCAATAAGGCTGCCACTAACAGAAACTACAGATGCTATTTAGATTATTTGAATGAAAGTAGATTGTAGAGATTCAACCCATCTAAAAAAGCAAATAGTGATCAATTTATGACTGGATAAAATAATCAAATAGAATTTAGAACAGAAAGAGCTTTAGTTACTTAGATCCATCTTTCTTAGAGAGTAATTGGCTCTACAGCAATTCTGAAATATGCCTGTCTGACCTTGGCTTGAGATAGGGTTTGAAACACGGGTAGGATTTAGAGCAGAATTACAGACTGAGGCAACAATGTGAAAAGAGCAAAAGAGGTAAGAACAGGAAAGATACCTATGGGAGACAAGGAGGAGACAGTCTGAACAGGGTTGACTCTGTGCAAGGGAACCTCTGAGACAAGAGTTGAAAATGGTAGAAGGTCAGATGCTAGAAATTCTTTTTTTTTTTTAAATTTTTTTTAAATGTTTATTTGTTTTTGAGACCGAGAGAGACAGAGCATGAGCGGAGGAAGGGGAGAGAGAGAGAAGGAGACACAGAATCTGAAGCAGGCTCCAGGCTCTGAGCTGTCAGCACAAGCCCGACGCGGGGCTCAAACTTACGCACTGTGAGATCATGACCTGAGCCAAAGTCGGATGCGTAACCGACTGAGCCACCCAGGCGCCCCTAGAAAGTCTTAATGAAGCCAACCCTCCAAGCTGTACTAAGTAATATTCCTAGATAAGTAGCATTCCCCACAGACTGGATACGGCCATAACTCTGCTAATAATTAATGGGGATACTAATAACTTTTACTTATTTATGGTTTTACAATTGGTAATGTTTTTCCAAATATTTAAAATTCATTCTTGTAGATGCCTCTGACAAAATTCTAAGAGTAGAAAGTGCAGCAGGCTAGTGAGAGACATTCATTAGGGGTCTGGGCAGGCTTTCTGGCATCCTTTTATGTGGCTGGCTACTTAACCTATGAATAGAAATGGCTTTGACTGTGTGTGTGTGTGTGTGTGTGTGTGTGTGTGTGTGTGTGTGTAGACAGAGGAGAGAGAAAAAGGAAGTGAATGAATGAAGTATATCTGAGGTTCCTCTGCCTCGTATTTACTACCATGGCAGAGATCTTGATTTAGTTCTGTCTTCCTGTCATGGCAGCTAGAGAGGAAACACAAGTTCCAAGTACTGAAGACATAAGCTGTGCAGGTGGAGTGACTCAGATGGTCCATAAGCAGTTCACCAGAAACCACACGAGAATGTACCATCTGTTACTGCTGATCTAGAGATCAGATTTGAACCCAAAGTACTGGGCAGAAGCTAAAATAAAACCATTTCCTGCATCCAACAACAGCAAATACCTTACAGGCTCTTAGATTTTAAAAAATCTTCATAAAAGTAAAGTTCAGTATACTTCTCTCTTATATTCAAGTTGGAGAACGGGCTTGTGATTTACACATTTGTAAGTGAGGACAAGTGCTAATTGTAAAGGACATACATAGTGCTTAATATTTCCTTATTCCATTTCCCTGAGCAGTTCCTTACCCCAGAAAAGGCGTAAGGTAGGCACTGGTCTTCCTCTAGAAGCCAACCGATCAGTTAAGCTGTATTTAACTCCTGTGGCGTTTAGGCATTTCACTTCACACATTAGACCCATTCACATGGCGCACTGTTGCTAACAGCGGCTCTAGAATCCAGATCAAAACTAACTTGCGAGTGTGATTGCTGAAAGAACCACTGTGAAACAGGATCATGTTTTTCTGCTGACTTTGACTGACGTGGTTTTAAAGCTTCCGACTGTATCATAAAGTTCCCAACAAGACCATGTCTCAAGTTTCAAAAAGTGAGTTCTTTTTTCTATTAATCATTACCTAAATCCACATATATCTTATATATATATATATATATCATATATATATATAGTACAAATACATCCACAAAAACATATGATGATTGATAATACTACTCATCTCTATCATTTTTTAATGGTGTAAAATAGATCAAATATACGAAATATTCTTGGACAAATATATATACTAAATGAAAATATCTGTAAAACTAATGGCTTAAATTGATTTTGGTTCCATGCTTTAGTAAAGATATTTCATTTTTTAAAACTCTTCCTGACTGATCAAATTCCACAAAGATTGCCCTGAATACACATGTTGACTTCTAAAACAATCTTAGCAAAGGACAATTCTGTAAAAACATGTTTTAAATCTCGGTACTAAATATTTCTCTGTAGAATGTTTTAAGGAAAACAACAGTTTGGCCTATTAAGGCTGGCATTCATTTTGGGTCTGGTTGTATATGCTCATTTATATATGCTAATATAAGCGAACCACCAAGCGTGAATCTTCAAATCAGTTTTAGAAAAAAATAACATAAGCATTTGGTATGCAATTCTCTTCACTGATTTGAAAAAAAGAAAATTTTATAACTATATCATAGGTACTTGCAAATTTTGCAGAATTAGAATTGGCCCCTGAAGTCTTCTGAATTAGCGTGGTAGAGGATCAACTAGATAAAAGATAATTTGGAAAGAGGAACTGTGCTTACCTCTCAGTCACAAGCATTCAATTGCGTTGAAATGACGGTAACTCTTAACAGAACACTTCCAAATGTGACCAGGTCATCGTTCTGCAATAGTTTTGAATAGGTCTCCTAGAGGAATAATATAAAAATAGATTTATTTCAACTGAGTATTTGAGATAAACACCTAACAAATCAGATAATGGGTATTTATCATGTAAGAATCCATACTAAAACTTCGTTTAATCAGCCAGACAGACTGCCAAGTCACAAATATAAGCGTGGTTGCATTAGATAACTCTATATAATTATTATTTGATATTAAAACCCCTAGTACCTGTACCAGCGAAGATGATTTTTATAACTATTTAGTTTTTCCCTTACTCTCATTGTTTGTTTTAGTAGATGTGCCTTAAATTTGTATCAACATCTAAAGAAAAAGATACTTTTTATCCAGAGCTACTGACACCTGAATCAACTCCTAAAATTCTTTATTTTTACACTGGTTTATAAACTTGCTTCCTGGTCTTTGTTTTCTGGTAAATAACTGACTTTGCGTTGTAAAAAAAAAAAAAAAGTATGTTAAAATAAACAAAATTTCATAGAATATTCTTAGATCAAGGGCAATCCTGAAGGAAGAGTAGACCAGTACATCTGAGGGAGCTGAGATTTCCTGTAGACCGCGCTATAGGGTTTAATCACAAACCCCCTGTCACAGCAAGAATTTTACCTTTCAAGGGTAACAGGATCACTATGGTGTAAAACACTGATTTAAAAGCAAATATGGTTATTTCTGAAGCATTATATCTAATTAGTTCCACACTAAACAATGGACCATGCACCTTAGAAGACCAATTCTTTTTTTTTAAATTTTAATGTTTATATATTTTGAGAGAGACAGAGAGAGACAGAAGACAGACAACATGCACTGCAGGGGAGGGGCAGAGAGAGAGGGAGAACTGACAGACTGTCAGCACAAGAACCCAACACGGGCTTGAACTCTGAACGAGCAAATTGAGATGGTGACCCTGGTAGTAATTGGACGCTGTGACGCTGAACCACCCAGGCGCCCCGGACCAAG